CCGGCGCCTCGCGGCCCCTTTCCGCCCGCGCCCTCGGTGGCGCCGACCCTGGGGATGGAGCGCTTCCCAGTGAGTCCCCGACCCGTCTCGCTCCTGCGGGTTCTCAGGCCTGCCTGCTCCGAGACCTCGGACTAGTGCAGCGAAGAGCGGCTCTCGGGCAGGGCTGGGGACTGAGCTAGGCCTCTGTCGCCGAGAAAGGTCGCGGGAGAGCTGGGTGGGGACTGCTGTGCGCCGGCTTTACCCCAGGCTGCACTTGAGCCCACTTAGGGTGCAGGTGGCGGTGCCTTCCCGTTCCCCTAGTGGGGGTCAGCAGCGATGTTTGGAATTCTGTTTCTGGTTGGGGCCTCAGGTTAGTGACGATCTCCTTTACCACGGAAGAGCTCTGAGATGGCTGGAAACCCCTACCCCTGCTCTCTGCTCACACCCAGTATCTTTCTGGCAGTTCTGCTTTTCTGGCCTTTCCCAGAAAGCTTGAAACAAAACCAACTTGAACTTGCTGGGCACACGCTAGTGTTAACACACAGGTGTTTTGGAGTGCTGTGTTTGAACTTGGGTGCATAGCAATGAGTTTACACAGAAATACTGCTTCTGCTACAAATATACTTGCTTGTTTTTAAAGTACCAGTAACCGTGGGGCAACCCACTTTCCGGTCCCCTTCTGTCTCTCTTAGACAGAAGCTTTCTTTCCCTCAATAAATTTTTCCTACTCTTAAAATGAAATGAAATAAAATGAAGTATCAGTTACCCTCCTCTCGCACCATTGGCAACACCATAAACCATATTGAGCGTATATTTATCACAGTTTAGAAAAAACGCAAAAAGTACGTGCTGAATTTTCCCAAACTTAAGCCCTCTACCAAAGTAGGTGTCCAGTTTTAAAAACTTCATGGTAGACTTCAGATTGGAAGTCACTTAGTGCACCAGGTACCATGACATCAAAATAGTCCTAGACTAGGCTTGAGAATGCCGTGGAATCACTTATGCCTTTGAGTTGTGTTTCAGATGGGAAGCTCCTGTCTACTGATGTGACTCATTACGTGATCCCAGACTGGAAAGTTGTTCAAGATTACCTGGAGATCTTCGAGTTTCCAGAACTGAAGGGAATTATTTTCATGCAAACAGCTTGTCAAGCTGTACAGCATCAAAGAGGCCGGAGGTATCTGTTTTACATTATTTATTTATTTATAGTGTGGCATGTCCCCCTCCTTCAGAAAAGATCCTTTGTTGGAGGGGAAAGGGAGGGATTCATTATTTTGTGAGAAAGGACTTTTCAAACTAATTTGATATTCTCGGGCCGGGGATTTAGCTCGGTGGCTCTGCCGCCTGCCTTGCAAGTGCAGGGACCCGAGTTTGATCCCCGGTGCCAAAAAAAAAAAAAACCCCACCTAATTTGATATTCTCTTTGCTAGCCAGGAATGTGGTAACATTGTTTTATATTTCTGCCTCAACACTGGCCAAAAGATCTGTTTGTAGATCAGTAAACTTCAGTGTCCCCAGTATGTAGGTAAACATTCCTGTGTGAACTGGCTTTTGCTTTGCATTTTTTTTTTTTTGGTACCGGGGATTGAACTCGGGTCCCTGCACTTGCAAGGCAGGCCACCAAACCGCTGAGCTAAATCCCCAGCCCTACTTTTCATTTTTATAGTAGCATTGTAATTGCTTTTTTTTTCTAATAATGAATAATATTTAGTTTTATTTATGTTTTTTTTCAGCATCGTACATTCTTTTCTTGGGAAAAAGAGAACTTTTAAATTTAGGCTCCTTATTGTGAATGCAAAATGTACTTATAATAATTTATTCAAGAAGCCAGAAACAACTTGTTTTATTTTTAGATTCCTAGTGTAACCACCAACTAATTGTAATTGTATTTGCTAGCCAAAAAGCTCCTAATTGACCCCATCTAAAATACTTCCCTTGAAATAAATAAAATAAATAAATAAAATACTTTCCTTGATTCTAAATGAAGAATTGTTGTCCCCATTTTGAACAGTCTAAGAAATATTTTTGCTTGATTAACATTGGAGAAGGTTTTTATATTTGAGCTTGACTATGTAAATAGCATATTAGAATTATATATGCAAACTCTTAACATCCCAGGTTATTTAATAAGCAGAAATGATGTGTTTATCCTTTTTAAAAATCTTGCAGTTTCTTCAGACCTTGGAAGTAAAAGATGAAGTGCTTTTATTTGTATGCAAAAATGACAAATTGTCCTTACTATCCGCTCAGTTTTAAAAAATGCACATTAACTAAATTGTGTACAGGTTTTTTCAGATTGAATATTTTAAAATGACTTGAAGTTGATTTTGTTCAGACACAAAGATATAGATGTTTACACACATCTGGGTTTAAATGCTGCCCCGGGTGTCATATTTCAATTTCTGCTGCTAAAATCAATTTGTTATTATCATTGGGATTGTGAACACACTGCAAGCCTTTTCAACTTCTGTTTTCTAAAATATTTTTAATGTTAAGGATTGTTTTAAAAACCAATTCCTGGGACTTTCCAAGGCAAAGACTTGGAATTTAAATGTCTTTTCTCCTGCATGTTTCACAAGTAGTTAACTTGATGAAAAAGTATTGATTTTCTACTACTTTTCCATGGCCATGAATATACTAGATGTGAACACCAGAGATGAGAAATTATGAAATACGTCCTCGTAATGACACCCTAAGTTTCCCATTTGATAAGCACATTTTGAGGTCCTACTCTGAGTCAGTGGCGGGGGGTTGGGCTGGAGATTTAGCTCAGTGGTGCTGCGCCTGCCTCACAAGCACAAGTTCCTGAGTTCCATCACTGCTACCTGAAGAAAAAAAAAATTTGTTGTTCAGAGGCAGTGTTGGGAAATACAAAAACATCTTGGTACCTTTCACAACACACCTGATGTCTTGTTAGGGTTAGAAGTTGGAGACAAGAGGGTAATTATGAGGCACAATAACCACATGAAGGATAATTAAATCTAAACCATCCAAAGCAGAGGTGTGCTAGGTGTGATGGTGCATGCTTATAATCCCTGCTCTCTGGAGGCTGAGGCAGGAGGATCACTGCCAAGTTAAGCGCAGCCTGAAACCCTATCTCAAGGAAAAAAAAAAAGGAAAGAAAATGCAGACGTCTGTGTGGGATGTGAAGAT